CTGTAGCACTCACAGACCTCAGGGCCCAGGCAARCACAGTAACGGATGCAGAGTAACAGCTTGGTAGAGGTGGGCATCGCTCGGTGAAGACACCCAGGACCAGCACCYCATCCACATTGGAGTGGGAGACAGTTTCCATGCTCACTGACAGCTTTCTGCTTTAAGAGTATGTTACATAGGAAAGTTCTTTGTCACATCTATGTCCTTTCATTTCCCTGTTTAAACAGTATCTTATTGAAAAAGTAAAACTCAGAAATGGCATTGGACATGCTCTTTTACTTGAAACTCTTCTTCAAGTTTGGAAAGAGCACTGTTCCTTGACTTTCGGGTATTTTCTTAGGGAATAGTGTGTTCCAGATTTGTTTTCCAGGAACCAGGCGGACTCCTTGTCTGTGGGCTGTGACCCTGGAGCTGGGCTGAGGTCCAGGGAGAACTTACTCATTCTGCTCAGGCTCCTCCTGCTCTGCTGCCTGCACAGCATGCCCAGCCACCAGGTGTCCCATCCGGCAGGACACATCAACGTGGGCAGCGAACCTAGATGGGGAGGAATGAAGGGACCAGAGACACGAAAGGTGRCAGCAAGACAAAAGTCCTGATCAAGCTGCAAACTTTTATTGTTCACACAGGGGTATTCATATGCTGGGGATGGGGAAGCTCTCTAATCAGCAATTGCTGGATGTGGGTGGGTATTCCTATGCTGGGGATGGGGAAGCTCTCTCATCAACAATTGCTGGATGTGGGTGGTAAAACTGCCAGCTGCAAGATGTCTGATGATCCTGATAACCGCAGGATRTTCCAGGGAGATAGGTAGCTGCAGGATGTCTCCCAGGGGGCTGTCAGGCTAATCTTTGAAGGAGAATTTCCTTCTAGTCCCCAACAACCAGGGAGTGGACAGGCACACAGCTCCCTGTCCGCTTCCCAGTAGCTGTCATGCTAATGGATTGCTCAGTRGGCTGGGTGTAGCTGAGAGGAGCCCCCAAGGCTGTCTTACCTGTGACAGGGTGTGCTTGTGGCTTCTCACGTCTCTYCCTTCTATTGCCACCCTGCATACTCTTCTTTTCCCATCAGCTTTTCAGCATTTTGTCCCATGATGACTGAAGGTTGGCCCTAGGTCTGGGGGACAGCTGTGCACCACCCTCACATCAGCACCCAGGAAACAGAAGGCCTGCCCTGGGTGCCTTCCAACTGGAGGACGAGGCTACCCTGTGCACTCTGATTCAGGACCAAGGTGAGCCTGAGAATGTGGATCCATTCAAGGAAATTCTTAGTGACTCATGTCTCTCCCAGGGGCGTTTATCTTGAATACCTGGTAGATAGTGCTATTCAGAAATCAATCTATCTATCTATCTATCTATCTATCTATCTATCTATCTATCTATCTATCTATTTATTAAAAAGAGTGAGAGAGTGAGAGAGGAGAGAGAGAGTGAGAATTTTTAATATTTATTTTTTAGTTCTCGGCGGACACAACATCTTTGTTGGTATGTGGTGCTGAGGATGGAACCCGGGCCGCACGCATGCCAGGCGAGCGTGCTACCGCTTGAGCCACATCCCCAGCCCCAGAAATTTATTTTTGTTCAGTGAATGAAAGCAGCGTTAGGAAGTTGGTTCAGGAAGAGAGAAAAATAATCTTTGTGTTACTTTTGTTTTGTATGGAATTTGTAACTAAAGACACATTTAATGATTATCATTTCAAACTGCAGAATATGGAACGTCAAATCCTCCTGGGATATCTTAAGACACTGATGCAGTCTGCGTCAGAAACCTCTGGCTCTGGTCCTGCCCAGCAGATGGCACTCTTACACCGTGGTGTACAGGATAGGTGCCACTCTCTCCAGGTAGACCACATCTCATAACTTTGAAGGATTCATTTCCCCACCCCATCCCACAAAACCTCCGCCCACTTCCATTCTACTCCATGCCACCTCCTCACCCACCTGTTCACCTCTTCAGGTACTCAGGGGTGTCTTGCTGACACTCTCTCTAGTTGCTCATAGAAAAATACCTTTTGTGCTTAATGATAGTCAGCTCATAGCAATAAGGCTGGCTAAGTCATCTGCAGAGCCCTGTATAAAATAAAAATGTAGAACTCCTTTACCAAGTGGCTAGAAATTTTAAGATGGCAACAACAAAGTGCTAAACCAAGCACAGGCCCCCTGAGCCTGCACAGGTCTCGCACCATGAACCAGCCATACTTCATAGACCAATGGTGCTTCCTCCTCTCATCCCACCCTCCCTGTTCCAGCACCCTCTCCCAGTGGCACAGACCCAAGGGTTGCTCACGAATCACCCAGTGCTGTTCAGACAGCATGGAGGCTTGGTGCTGGAGGGACTGTGGAGACCCAGCCGGGTCCCCTCATTTAGAGATGACTGAACTGCATTCCAAAGAGATGAAGTGGTAGTCCCAACGTCCCCAGCTAGTCATGCCACAGACTGGGCTGGAGCAAAGATCTCCTCTGTGGGGCCAAGCCTCGCTGTGTCACAGGCTTGAAGGGAAATGTTCTAGGAAAAGGGCTTTCTCATGGACTTGCTCTGTTTTCTCTGTGAGGGTTTTGAGAGCCAAGCTATCTGTCAGGCACTATTCCAGATATTCATGTATACTAGCTCAATAAAGTATCAGAAAACCATTACTATTTTTCAAGTGAGAAAAATTGAGAGTCAGAACTTGAATTTTGGAAAGTGRAAAGATGTATTTAGGCAAGTCTCTGATTCTAAGTCCACACTCTTTTATCCTTGTCACTGGTGAATTTTTGGAGGCTGAATTGGCCTATATTTCCTGAACATGGGTATTGATGGTAGTCTGTCCTGGATGGCCTTAGGGACGCTTTCTAGGGTCTCATGTCTTCAAGCTGGTCAGGCCAACTTCTTTCTTGGGCCTCTCTTTAAGTGCTTCCCCTGCTTGGAATGATCTCCCCAGATATGCYATGGAAATCAGGACTCATGTCAGGTAGCAAGTGGAGGTCCGGTCACACAGGTATCATGGGCAACACCAGGACTCCAGCTTTTTCTCTGATGACAAGGAGCCATTGCAGATTTTGTACAGAGAAGTGATATGATCTGACTTAGACCTTTAAGGATTCTCCTGTCTGCTCTGGGGTTCGGTAGGGAAGATAGAGGTTGGGAGACTTTTTAGGGGAGTCTTGCAGTAATTCAGGTGATGATGGTGGTGTCTTCAATTGAGGTGACACCAGTGGCCGTAATGAGAGGAAGTTGGATCCTGGAGTTCTATGTGTGGGTAAATATCATATTTTAAACTCTTGGTTATAGAGAATTGCAAAAACATACAAGAGTAAGGAAAAGAGGGATGAGTTTCACATTCCTGCCGCGTCCCAGTGACGCTGACATCTGTGACTGTCTGGCACCATCCAGCAGTGGTCTCCCCTCACCCCTCCCACTCTGCCCCCCCCTGAGGCTGGGGAAAGCACTTGAAGGAATCCCAAATCGCACACATGACAACTGAACCTCCAGCTGTCCCCTGGGTGCGCCTGGCTCCCTGCTCGTGGTGCACCTTTGGCTCCTGTGGCTCCCACCAAGAACTTGGGGTTCCCCCCTGTGTCTCCAGGGTCCTCTTAAACCATGTTCCTATTTCTCAAATTCACACTCCCTGCCCACAAGTTCTTCTGGACGCACTTAGTGTGGCTCCTCCACACAGAGTTCAGGAGCTGACCAAGCGGCACAGCGGCTCCTGGGTACTGGGAGCCCAAGCTCAGCTGTGTGAAGAGAGCTCAGTGGAGTGGCAGCTGCTGAGCAGCAGTAGGCAGATCTCTAATGCTAATAAATAGTGAAGGGGGACAAGCTGTGAGAGAAGAAAGCCTGGTTGGGCTGGGGAGAGCAGTGACAGTGGCCCCTGCCCTCATCTTACAGTTTGACCCGGTGCATTTCAGTGCAAGTCTTGGTGCCACAGGAGAATTAAGGGGTCTTTTTCTTAAGATATTTTTGTTTGTGGGGCTGGGGTTGTGGCTCAGTGGTAGAATGCTCGCCTAGCATGCTTGAGGCACTGAGTTCGATCCTCAGCACCACATAAATGTAAAATAAAGATATTGAGTCCACTTAAAACTAAAAAATAAATATTAAAAAAGATGTAAAATTTTTTTTAAAAGATATTTTTATTTTTAACAGGCTGAGTAATGGATCTGAAATACTGGACTGAAATCTAGGACCTACGTTAGTTCTCGTGTTCATAGGGACCCTACTCAGCATTAGATGAGCTGATAAGATGCTTGGTGTCTGTCTCCCCACCTGCAGGTGGGAGTGGTGCCTGCCCCCACTTCACATGTGAAGACCAGTGCAGTCAGAGAAGTAAAGCGTGCTTCTGGCTCCTGTTGAGCCCAGCAACAGGAATTGAACCCAGGGGAGTTATACCATTGAGCCAAATTCCCAGCCCTTTCCATTTTTCATTTTGTGACAGTGTCTTGCTAAGCTGAATGATCAATATTTACTCTATAAAGATGTTTATGAAGTTATAAAAATGAACAGATTGATATTTTTTCTTTAGTGCAGTGCTGAGGCTCAAGCCCAGGGTCTTGCAGGTGTGTGGGTGCATTTGCTTTTCTTATTTCTGAGCCTTCTGGTTGAGTATGCATTGCTTTCATAATAAGAGATGCTACCAAGGAAATCATTCACAACCATTGCAAAATTTTAGAAACCCCCACGCAGCCTATGTGTTTARCTTGCCAAATTTGAAAATAAACACAACAAAAACTGTCTACTATTGCACATGTCACACAGCTTTGTTGTTTTAAAGAAGAGGCTATATATAGAATAGTATTTATTTTTCTGTTTTAAAATATGTTGCATATTATTTTAGAATTCCCATGGATTTCATTGTTAAAGAATATAAAACAAATTAAATCATAAATAGCTTTTACTTGCTTGCTTTGTCAAGGCTGGAAGTACATCAATGTTTGTAGAAGGAATATTATTCAGAACCTCATGCTTGATGGGCAGGGAAAAGCAGCTCTGAATGGACAGACTGGGCGGGCGGTGCCTGAGAACTGTGCTTATTCCTTTTTAAAGATCCTCTTGGCTTCTACTCCTTCATACGTGTAGGTCTGAAAGGTGTCAGCAAGCATTAAAAAATTGCCATTAATATATCTGCATTAAGAAATTTTAGTATTATTGGTATTATTGGAGCTCTGGATGAGTTCATACTATTTTTTCATGGACTGATAGCAACATTTTATGCAGATGTAGATGTCCACTAYAAAACACATTTTGGCTTCTAGTCATTCACATTTTCAGCTAAACTAGGGTTTCATTGTTGTTGTTTGTTTTTTTTTTGTTTTTTGAGAAGGGAATTGAACCCAGGGGAGTTTTACAATTGAGCCAAATTCCTAGCCCTTTCTATTTTTCATTTTGTGACAGTGTCTTGCTAAGCTGCTTAGGACTTCCCTAAATTGCTGACTGGCCATGAACTTGCAATTCTCCTGTCTCAGCCTTCCATGTCACTGGGATTACAGGTGTGCATCAGCACATCCAGCTAAACTAGGGTTCTTGTATTCTCTCTCTCTCTCTCTCTCTCTCTCTCTCTCTCTCTATATATATATATATATATATATATATATATATATAAWCTTCATGTATAGTATATATATATATATATATTCTATATATATATTATCTTCAATAACTATGCATAAAAATATCTATTTTTTAAATCAGTAAGATACACAAGAAAAGAAATAACAGTCTGTTAACTAAAGATATAACTCATCAATTTCAAAARACATGTAATCATTTTTGTCTTTGGGAAGTAGTTTCAGGTCTTTTTACAACTCACCTGGATGAGCTCATCACCTGTAACTTCTCGGACAGTATTCAGCTCCTTTCCATTGTCTACCCGTTTGAATCTTCCTACAAGTTTATCTCCCTCAAGGCTCCAGGTCCCCTGCATTGTGATGACAAAGTGGCATGTGTTAGATCTTGTGTGTGTCACACATGGTTCTAGTTCTGCAGAGCCACGGTTGCATGAGTGTCCACAACCACGGTTCTGTCACTCTCCCAGAGCCAGGCCCCAGCCTGGAGCCTCACTGGGGGTCCTGGAGGACCTGTGTGATGCCACCAATACCATGCTGCCCCTCCACAACCTCCGTGGGCCATCTCTGAGGCACAGTCGATAACACGTTCAGCAGTCAAACCGTCACTGCAGATATATAGAATCCAACTAGAAAGACTCCAAGGCTAAACAGAGCTTTGAAAAACTGGTTGAAGATGATGACTTCTGAAGTCTTTTACCTTGATCATGAGAGGGTATGTCTCAGTGACTTACACTGCAGCAAAGACCGTCCTCTTGGTCGTTCACTTCGTTCACTCATTCCTCACTTATTAACTTCCTATTTCAATGTATTTACCAAATGACTATTAGGTGTATGTTACATAACTCTGAAAGCTTTTGTGCTGCCAGTATGGAAATACTGAGCCAGATCTGTACACACTCATTCAAAGGATATTCTTCTGAATCCATAAGTGTTAAATGAAGTATGACAAGGCATATTCACACATGCATAAAGAAACACAACTTCAAATCTGCTTATACAGAATTTTTAAGCACGTTCTTTCCAGAAAGTTCAGTCCAGATTCTTCATAGATGGTTGAATCACTGTATTTAAGTGCCCTGTCAATGTTGGGCTTCTTCAGTAAATGAAGGAGATATGCATTAATTAAGCCAACCAATGGGACAAAGCAGATACCGTTTCAGTTTTGGGTAGAAAAATCAATAATGCATTGCTTATAAAAAGTTCTTACACTGAGTTCAGTTCCATCCGCTAGGCTGTAAGCAAAGGCAGTGCCAAGTTCAAACACGATGTCAATGGTTCGGAAGTTGCTGGACTCTTTGACTGTGAATCTGTTCCCCTCCTGTGTGATGACCAGTTTCAGATTGTCATGAGCCGCAAGCTTCCTCTTCACCATGTTGATTCCTGGAAGAGAAAGGAGGCCAGAGAAAGTGAGACCCAAGTGCCCAGGAGGCCCTGGCTTCTCTGCGTTGTTGTTGTTGTTGTTGTTGTTATTCTGAGGGGGAGAAAACCCCCTCTCACTGCGGAGCCCATAGCACTCTGCTGGCTTCTGCAGAAGTTCAAGCTCAGGCAGGAGAAGACTGACACAAACTGCTTTCCCAGACTTCAAAAAAATGAGGTGAAGCACAGAGTTTAGAAATCCAAGTGCTCATTCATTTTCCTAAGACTAAGACACTCCTGTTTCAGTGTTATGCATATCAAATTTGAGAAATGTCAGATGAAGTATGAAGAGGCATATTCACACATGCATGAAGAAATGCAACTTTAACTCTGCTTCTACAGAATCTTAAAACACTTTCTTTCCATAATTGCTTTTAAAATCTACACTTCATACATCATTGCTTTTGGTGACGTTTGTGACTGACACAAAAATGTAAAAATTGAAAATTTCATGGTCGAATTCATTATTATGTACAATTCTATAAATTTAAACTTGGAATCCCTAAACTGTACAATACAATTGATGCAGATTTTTTATTTTGTGGAATGATAAAAAATCACCCATCTTACACAGTGTGGGTGCTACTAGGTATCGGCATAGATTTTACAAAATAGTTAAACTTCTCAAAGAAAATACATAGTAGCTTTGTGAGGAAATTCCTAAAGTTTTGTAAGTTAGAGCAAAAGAGAATCAAATCTAATTTTTTCAAAGTGATTTTTGAAAGAACTCTTTTCTATTTATTGTTATACTTTATTATATGATTTTTGCTTTCCCATTCCCAAGAATTTAATGTTTTAAAATTTGGATTATCATCACCCACTACCATTTTCATACTCTATTAAAAAACAGATGTGGGTTTTCCATGACACAGGTACAAGCAGCAGGTGGAGAAGGAAGGAAGCCTTGGTGTGTCCTAGAGGAGGGCCCTTAGAGTCTGCCCCCCACTGGTGAGGTGCGCGAGCTTCCTGACGCAGGACGCGGGTGTGGCTGTTCCTGTGCCGAGCTGTCAGGCATCTGGATCCCACAGCAGAGAAAGGCCTAGAGAGAGCAGAGAGAACCCTGAGCAATGGCTTCCTACCCATTTTTTCCATGAACTTGTCGTAGTTCTCATTSCGGTTCACTTTCCAAGTTCCGTCGAATGCCATGGTCTCGGATGTGCTGGCCACAGGCAAGTGGAGATTCAGGCCTGTCTATAGAATTTATTCTGTTTCTTATCTTGGAGCCAACTCCATACTGTGATGTGGAAGTCTAAAGGTCAAGAGATCACTGACTGCTGTGATGACAAACCACTTCAGTTTCTCTTTGCATAATTTCCTTCTATCTTCTGAAGTTCAGCTGATGTTGAGGATGATAAGCAAACCTACTCTGTCTTAGACTACGAAGTCAGGAACATTTAAGAATTCAAATGTGAGCTTTCTGAAGATAGTATTTCTACATATGACCTCAAGGTGTGCAGTATATTAGGCAATTTCAAATAACATGAGAAATTAGACTATTATTCACGTATTCCTTTTTTTWAAACAGTAGCAGTTGTCTTGCAAAGAAAGACTGCATGCCAAATACAGTCAAAAAGTTAATGTGGTTGAGACTGAAAATTCAGGTCTTTGTTTTTCTTTATTAAGGTAAGATTCAACAGACTGATTATTTTAAGGATAAAATTCACTGCTTTTAGGGAGCTTCAMGCTATTGTGTAACCATCACCATTATTTAATTCCAGAGGATTGCATCGTCCCAGGGAGAAACCACACACAGTGAGAAGTCGTTTCTGATCCTCTGTTCCCAGCCCTGCCASCTTCTCACCCATGTCTGGATTTTGTGGTTGGTCTCTTCTGAACATTTCATACAAATGGATTCATATGGTAGGTGGCCTTTTATGTTTGAGTTTTCTCATTGGCCACAGTGTTTTCCTAGTTTACATATCAGCACTTCTTTTTTTTGTTGTTGTTGTTACTAGGGATTTAACTCAGGGGCACTCAACCACTAGCCACACCCCTAGCCCTAATTTGTATTTTACTTAGAGACAGGGTCTCACTGAATTGCTTACCACCTTGCTTTCTGCTGAGGCTGGCTTTGAACTCTCCATCCTCCTGCCTTAGCCTCCTGAGCCACTGGGATTACAGGTGCACCACTGCACCCAGCTAGCACTTCTTTTTTAAAAAGATTTTATTTTATGTTTAATTGGCATGTGTAGTTTGTGCTTTTTAAAGGGGTTCAGCGTGCTAGTTCTCACATGCATACAGTGTGCAGGTCCAGATCCCACCTGCTCCTTCCATCCCCCTACACCACCTTCACCACCTCAAGCACCCATTCCCCACATTCAAGCCAACCTCTTTTGGTTTCCACAGGTGAGAGGACATGTGGTACGTGTCTGAAGGGTCATTTTCTAACATGTCTTTTGGCATGGTGTTTGGGGATGCCAGGAGTTTGTATAAATGACCTGGTGACAGTCCACTGAGCATAATTTTAAAAAGTAGAAATTTAGCTGGATAACAAAAACTTTCATAAGACAAAAAAATTAACATCAAACATCTCCCATGTACAAAAAGAACAAAAGCCAGATGTTAGCTCTCTCCGTAATTAAAACCATTCCTCTGTTTCACTTTCCCTCTCTCCATCCCCAAGCGTGGGGTCAGAGCCAAGCCTGGTATGTGTATGGGGTGAGGATGCAGAGGGTGACTGAAGGTCAGGGAGATCTTTCCGCCCTCCACGGCGGCGTCTTCCAGCCCAGGGCAGGCCTGAACTGGGCAGCAGACCCTCTCGCTGTGCGGGACAGGCTCCTCATTAGTAACTTGTCTGCAGATGTTAGCTACCAAAAAGACATTGTTGTGCCTGAAGGTACCTGGAGAATATCTTGTTATCTGAGGGCTAGCAGGGAAGCTCTACCCAGGGTGTCACTCAGGTCAAGGGAAGATGTATCGGACAAATTTGAACAGAATGCTGGAGAGATCAAACCATGTTTTAAAATTTTGATTCTGTCTGTTGTGTACCACTCTTTCAGTGAGTACTGTATTTTTTATTTTATCAATAAGTAGATTAAAAACAACTTTCTACTAGCTCCATTATTTCATTTAAAAAAGAAGAGAGATCAGAATACAAACAGGGGTGGGGAGAAAGGCCATAACAATGCGTTCATAACTGCAACTAAARTTGGCTAAGTTGCTGGGGGCAGTGCTGCATGCCTGTAACCCTAGTGATTCACGAGGATGAGGCAGGAGGACTGCAAGTTAGAGGCAACTTGGCAAGACACTGCCTCAAAACAAAAAATTAAAAAGACCTGGGTGTAGCTCAGTGGTAGAGAGCCCCTGAGTTCACTCCCCAGTACAACGAAAAAAAAAGAAAAGAAAAAATAAGGCTACATTGTCTTTGCTTTTCTGTCTCTTGCCAAAGACCATGAGACCCTCATAACTGGGGAGGCGTCAACCCAGCATTCTCCTCACTGGACGGCAAGTGGAAGGCCAAGGCCACAGTGATGCTCACGGTGACTTCTGAATTTAGAAGCCTACGGATGATGGACACTTCTCCCCTAGGTCAGAAAAATAGGCGTATCTGGCTTTTGAAATAGAAATATGTTTGGGTAAAAACAAACATGTTTTACAAACAAAATGACTTGAGTTTCAACACTGTAAGTCGTAATGCCCATTACTGTGCATGATGTCGGTCAGACTGCAGCCTCACCAGCTTTACTTGCCTTACACATAAAATGAAAGTTATAATAGTGCAGGACAGGTAGGGTTTTATGAGCAAATTGTATAATATACCCACCCAAGCTACTGGTAGACATCAGGTGCTCAATAAGACAGTTTTTCTCAGTCTCTGAGAAAGGAAATCCAATAGCAATACCAATATCTTAAGCATCCCAGGTCTCAAACCACTTCACTATTTTGTGAAGAAAATGTCTGGTGTTTATTAGGAAGTGACCCTAAAGTCATTTAGGTGTTTTGTGACTCACACTAGTGATAACTTGGGACTGGGGTTCCCTTGGATCTGCCTGTTAAGGACAGCATTGTGCCAGCGCACCCTCTGGGAATACATCTTCCCTCTTGGAGCTCATAGCCATTGAGACCCAAGGGCCCAGCTCGAGCAGGGAGTGGGGAGGAGAAAGCAGACACCCTTCTAACACTGTCCCTCTAAGGGCGCCTTCTAGGAGCCCTTGAGAACCAATAGCACTTGGAYTTACACAGCTGGTGATGGAATGGGCATACTGAACCTGGGTCTCCCACGCCTCAGTGGCCATGACCCGACTGAAGGTCAGTCTGGAAACCCTGTTGTGTCTGTGGAGTGGCATCACCATTTAAAACATTTAATGCCCAGATCACGTTTTTAACATGACACTTTCCTTCTCTGGTCCCCCAACTCCGTAACTCCCTGGTTCTTTAACCTTATTCCATCTAGAAAAGGTCACACAGAACCCATGGGTCAGTCTGAACGTCTCCCTAAAGCACTTCCCTGCTGCTGATGATGTTAAGCCAGTCAGCTGCGTATGGCCTCAGCCCTTCATTCTCTGCCCTGAGGACACGACAGTTGAGTCCTGCAGAGGGTAGATGTGGTCTGTGCAGGTGGCTGCAGACCTCTCTCCTCTCTCCTGTTGCAGTCCATATCACCCACTGAGTGGTCGGAAAGAAGTGCACATCAGCACAAACTTGCTTATTCCCATTTCATTTCTCAAGGAAAGTTCAAACCCATCCTCAGCATGGCTTGCAAACTGCTCCTTGTGTGCCATTTCTCTCCGTTCCCTATCATGCACTTTAAAACCTAGACATGTTAAATTTCCTGCCATCCCAGCCCCTGAGTGCCATGCTTCAGGGGATGCAGGGTGCGAGCATGGTCACCGATTCTTCTAGGAAGCCTGACTTGAGCTGCCAAGAGCAGGTGAAGGAACAGCCCTCCGTTTGCAGGGGTAAAGTTCTCAGTGTGGCTCATAAAAGACAAAAACAGTTGATTCATCTTAACCAGAGAAATATCATTATTCCAAAGTCCAGAAACATCAATAGAGAGGACAAAAGGACGTCAAAAGCTCATCTCAAAGGAATAGCTTCCTAGGGAAGGCACAGATCCTTTATTTTGCTCCATGGTATGGCAGAAGGGAACATTTTTTCTAGTATTATTTTTCACATATCATAAATGGGAAATGGTATTTAAGGCATTTTTAATCACCTCAGAATTTATGGATTCATGAATCATGTTGTTTTATTTTGTTTTGTTTGGTAGTGAGGATTGAACCCAAGGGTACTCTCCTATTGAGCCATATCCGAAGCCCTTTTATTTATTTTTTATGACAGTCCAGTCCCACTGTGCCTGATTGAATCCTGTTTTTTGATCCCAAGTTTTTAGCTTTTACATATCAAAGAAAAATGGAGGTGTCTAAGAGAAGGATTGGAGGGACAGAGAGAAAGAGTAGCAGGRAAGTCTCAAGTTATCTTCTGCCAGACCCCATGTGGTGAACGGGAAGGTGGGGGGCATTCTGAAGTTGGCCAACAAAGTTTACTTCTTTCTCTTTAATAACTAGTTTCTAAATTTGAGCAATATTAAGGTCTTTTTAATTGAATTTTAGATGTCATAAATGATTGACTGGTTTTCTTTCAAAAAGACTCCAACCGCACAGCAACACACCACAGGGTATCTGTCATGTAGAGGTAGCATGGCTTCCTGACTCTCAGTAATGACAGAGAGCCATTGAGAGGATTCCCATGTGTCCTGTTAGATGATCTTTCCTGAAAGGTTTGTGACTCCTTCTTGGTTGCTGACTTCTATCTCATTTCTCCAAGGAAAAGTACAAACCCTAACCCTTAGCATGGCTTGCAAACGGCTCCTCATTCCTTTCCATTCAGTATCATATATTCCAAGATCTAGACATAATAAATTTCCTAGACTCTAAATATGAAGTCTACCCAACAATAGTGGAATACCTTCAAGCAATATGACAGGAAGCTGCTTGTCTTCTTCCTAATACCATGTAGAAAATAGGGCTTTGAATTATTATAGCTTTCCACTATCATACCCAAACAATTATGTTTCTTCCTATTAAAAAAAAAAAAAACCTTTTTCTTTGAGACCACTTCCATTTGGCTGTATCACCTGCCAGCCTATCTCACACTGTTATTGACCATTGGATACCATCAGATAACATTGTTACATACCACTGTTA